GCCATGGTTGGGCCACAAAAAATGTTATGCAGTTTGCTGCAGCAGAATGCGATATTAGCCGTGGACAGACACAGAGGTGCAGACTCACTCACGCACACAAGGGAACAATATATTAAAATCTACAGGGATTTGGACAATTATTCTGATTGATTAACGTGCAAAACATAAGATTAATACGTTCTCCTGCATATAGAAACCTGCATATATGTGCTAATTTTGGTGGAAACAGTTTTGAGAACAGCTTGAGCTGTTTCCCATACACAAACTGGTTATAAGTTATAGTAAATGAAAAAAAGCTCACAAAGTGTAAGATTAAATTGTACAACAAAAGTGATATTTTGCCTTTTAGGGCTTCTTAGCGAAAGAAATATAAGGGCAGAGTTGAACTATCTTGGCAAACAAACTACCTGTTGGTGTTTTTAGGGATCATACATTTTATTTGTTTACAGAACTATATAATCTTTGCTGTGCATGACTGGAAAGCTTGATCAAGATGGCTTTTGCTGTTACATTCGATCTCCGCAACAATTTGGAAAATTTGCAAAATAAGGCTTGGTGGATTGGACAATGATGACAAGCCTAGCCTATTGCCTCACCCATATCCGTCATTTAATGAGTTCAGATTTCATTGGTAAACATTCTGAATCTATCAGCTTCGACATAGACGAGAAAAACAGTTGACGAACTGTAACCGAATTTACGTGAACAAATTGAGATGAATATTAGTTTAAATCTGGATGCACCACAGGAGAACATCTTGATTTATTAGCGGCAGATACTATTTATCTATAAAATAACAACAAACTCATACATACTGTGTGTAATATTGATTTGACATATTTGCCATATTTTGGCCGGCTTATAGAACCGTCACGTCTCTAGAAATGTACCCCGTCCTTCTCTACTCTGCTTCAGTCAGTGTGCAGAGCTGCCCCGAGTAAGACTGAACGTAATCCCCGTGATCTCAAGAGGAAATGAGGAAAACTGACGGCTATAGGCCTCCATTGCCTGCACTTTATGATGGATGACAGTGGAGGGAGGGGGGTGGCGGTATCTGAAAATCTTGAATTCGAGTTCCTTCAGAAACCGGCTGTATTTGTGCTGACAGGTGATAATTTAAACACAGTAGAACAGCTGGCTCCAGCTCTGCGCCTCACGTTTGAGTAGAATGTGTGTCCGAACAATAATTCATCACTTCAAACAACAGCCCAACATAGAGCTAGGCAGCATGGGGGACTGATGCTGCCAGCCACCGCTAGTTCATATGTGTGATTTGAGCTCTCCTTACGTTACTCTGTGTTAGTCACATTGTGTTGTGATTCCAATTACTGGGAAGCATGGAGTGCTGAAGTTACAGGGCTACTCATTGCTGTGATTTCGTTAATTACCATGGACTGAAGTGGATCACTGAAAGACAGACGGCTAACGCTAGCTAGACCAGCGGCGTTTGTAGGATTTGAGGGGCATTCAGGGCTTAGCCTGGACCTCTGTTACAGGATATTTGATGGTTTTTTTTGTATGCACTCTAGCATCTTATTCATAATTAAAAATACCTGTCTTTATCATTGAACATTTCTCTAAAACTGTTGTTTGCTTTCCAGATTAACCCATGAGAGAAAAGTTGAAAAGTTTCTACATGGGCTAACTTCTCACCCTTCCTTCTCTTTTGGAAGAATCCAAGAAGACTGGGTGTGATATGCCCACCCAGAGGCTTGAAACTTAAACCCGGTTTCCACCAAATCCTTTTTAAGAAAATATGCAAAATAACTGCGTTACAGTTTGTTTCCTTACAAAGAAAGTGAAAGATAATGTCATTTCAGCTCAACTTCAAGCATGTAAAATAGTAAAGTGTACTCATAGTGTACTCATAAAAACTCCATAAACTTTTTCGAATGATGTCTTTTATTTTTTTGTAATTTTACTGCACTTTCAATTTATATATCAGTTGCATAGGCGTTTTATTCTCCTCCACATAAATGCAATCGTATCAGCGAAATTGGGCCTGTGTAAATCCACCATTTCCCAAATGTTTATTTGTGACCTACACTACAATAAATCCACGTGTGATTTATGAATACAATTTTTCAAGAACTAATGCACACAGCATCACAAATATCATCAATAATGAGTATTCGGCTGAGAGATGACTAATGTAGAATCAGCTAAAAAAGGCTCGACCGCACGAAACAACCTTCCAATATTACAGGGTCAACAAAGTTTTAATAGGAGAGTTAGGCATCGCCCTCCATTTGATTTATGGTTTTTGGGTGTGTATTTGCATTGTTTACACATGCCAGCGGTCTTAATTTGGTGATATTTCAGAGTGGAATTGTCACTTCATTTCAGAATAAGCCTATAAAGCAGCGAAGGTGCTGACACGTGGGAAGAGATATGAGAGGTAGGATTAATCATTTGCCACAGAACGTGTTTAAGGAGAGACGTAGCTCAGCTAAGCTGGAGGGAAGGAGGGAGTGAGAGAGAGCGGCGACGTGGGCCCATTGATGGATGTGCACGGTGTGGATTTACTGCTCTGCCTACCTACGCTCCATTCCACCCGCATCCAGCTGTGGCAGGCGAGACGGCAGCAGGTCTCATCATCAGCCATGTACTATGCAGGACGGGTAAACAGGCCAAAGTCAGAAGCCAAGGTTGGGTAGAGAAGTACAGTCACCTACTGTGTACCAGCCAGAGACCACCTTCAACTTGATGAGGCGTCTAAGGACTGTAAACACAGGCACAGTTTGCATTGGCCCCTCGAGCCCGTAACAAAAACTGCATGTAGGGATTTAAATGAGTCTATGTATGTTTTTATGATAACACAGAACTAATCATTTACTGTAATGCCTTGCTCGATAATAATACATACAAGGGTTAAACAAAGGTGTGTTTATTGTCACAATGTCAACTAGTGCATTGAGTAACATGCAAGAAAATTTTCCACCTTAGAAGTTACCGGTAGCACGAAGAAATTCAAAAGAACACATTGACATCTAATTGCATGTATATGTCAACATGTTCAAATAAAAAAAGAGAGAAAAATGTCCAATCAGTAATAATAACAATGTGGGCTTGCTCAAAAATTGAATAGCTGAAATGTGGGAACGCTGCAAAATTGCCTCCGCAAACCAGTCAAGTTGCAGTTTACATCCATGTCTGTCATCGCTTCATCATTTTATCCTATCAGACCTTTGTATGAAATTGTCATAATTAGCACATCAATTCTTGAGTTATGGCCCAAAAAGTTGTTTTGTGAGGTCGCAGTGCCCTTTGACCAAAGAAATTCGAATCAGTTTATCCTTGAGTCTAAGTAGACGTTTGTGCCAAATTTGACGAAATTCCCTCAAGGTGTTCCTGAGATCGCATTGATGAGAATGGGACCGACTGACAACCCGAAAAAAAGAATGCTTCCAGTCATGGCTACTGCAGTTGAAGAAGCATAAAAAATATGTTTATTACCAAGATTTCAAGGCTGTTAACCTTCAGTCTGATTGCCCCAACATTTGTATTTCCTTCCCCCTCCGACAGCTATGTCACTGTATTGCCAGACCTCAGCACTTACTTTGCTTACCTTATAATTATAAAATGAAGAAATGATGAGCAAACCTATGAAAATATTTAGCCGCAGAGCTGCACACTTACTCATGCACACACGCAACCGATCGCATAATCCTCCAGGCAGAGATCATAAACAGGAACTATCATTTAAACCAGTCGAATGTTAATGATGGAAGGAGTTCTGTAGGTAAAGGGTATAGACGGGATATCACCAAATATAGTTGCCAAAGTCAATCAACAAAACACAAGAGCCAGCATCTGCCACCCTGCAGTCTTGTGGTAAACCTTCTGTGCAATCAACTGCAAAAAACACATTCAGCAAGAATTCAGGCAGAAGTTTTTATAGAGGGCTTAAGATGAAGGTAAAGAGAAACAATGTGAAGTTATACCGTCTTCACTTATATAGATCAGACACACAAATCCTGCACCAAAATAGGACCAGGTATTTATATCCTGTCAGAATTTTTCCCGTATTCATCGGAGGCCCTCCACCAATTTTACACGTGAAGTTGATTTTACTCATCATTAGGCGTGCTACTCAACCTGCACACTTGTATAATGTGGTACGTGGCTCGGGAGGAGCTGTCTGAAGTCTGAGAAATAGGGTTCTCTCCGCCTGGGTATGGACACTATACATTTAAAATAGAAGGCCTGTTCAATACTAAACGTGAATACTCTGGCACAAAATCTGTATCAATTATGGCATTTTGACATAAACATTGTAAATTAACGATCATATAGACATTATACTTTTTTATACTATACAAGTACTGCTCTCACATGCTGATTATGTGTGACCCCTACAGTTAAATTATTGGTGTTATACAAGTATATATATTTTCCGCGGCAAATTACTTAGTCTACAAAATGTCCTAAAGTTGTGAACATTGCTCTGTCCGACGAGCTGTTAACAACCCAAATACATTCAGTTTACATGAACAGAGAGACTCTCCATTTTGATTCTGATAGGCAGACGTGTTGGAAATCATCTCGACTCATGTTTAGCTTAATGTTTCCTGGGTGGTAAGCTACACATATATGTTACGATTCAATATATTGCACTACTGTATGGAAAGCAATATGTTGCCATTTTTTTTAAATCTATCTCATCTACATCATAGCACTATTCTTGTGAAATCTGAGCCACTGTCTGCCAGACGAATCTTTGCATGTAAACTATTAATTAAAAAGCGATAATGTTTTTGAAAACAGACAATATGACAATCGATAATATCGCGATACTTGCACCCCTAATGTCAGGAAACATTTCTGATTGACGGTTCAGTACATTACACAGATTATTACGATTTCTAATGGCCTTTACTTTTCAAGTTATTGGTTTGTTTACCTCTCTGCATTGCACCTCTCATATCAGTGAAAGGAGAGTTTGTTTAGCTGCTCAGCCGGAGTGAGGGATATTGTGTGAATAGGATGTCAATACATACCCTCTATTCCTCATGACTGCCAGAGGTGGTGATTTGCACCTGGATTCTTCTTCATGCAAGCACGCAGATCCAGTGTCTAAAACACAGAGAGAAAAAGCAAATGACAACGGTGAAGAGTACAGAAACAGAGCAGAAACTTAAATGAAAAATGTCCTGCCTCAACCCACTTTGATTTACAAGCCGTCACACTATAAAAATGTCTGAACAAACCAACTGACTGATTTTCAGCTGCCAGCCCGGTAAAGATAGGCTCATCCACTTTCTAGTTTGCGTGACAAATGGCACACATTGCTTGGCTTCCAGTTTGGGAGACCATTAAAATACACCGAAAGATGAGAATAAAACAACTCATTGGTGTAAAGTTGCTCCCCTCTTCAGTTAATTAAAACCAGCCCAGTGAGTGTGTTGAGGGAGAGAACTGGAACTGTGGAGCAATGCGCTACCACTGCAAAAGGTTGGGAGGTGAGCTCCCACTGGGGTCCATCATGCTAAACATGGGTGCCCTAATGGTACAGTACTGCAAACACTGTGCACTTTGGAGGCAGAACCAGCTTATAGGCACTGGAGCCTGGACCATATGGGTGGGCAAATGTCAGCGTATGTGTCAGCCAATAAGCCGCGGTGCAGAAATGCAGATATGTTCGAGGTTAGTGTATCTGTCACATGGTGTGCCCACCAGAGAGTACAAACAAGTCAATTGACCCTTCGCTAAGCCCCGCCCCCCGCAGCTACTCCGTCGAGCAGTCAGAGCTACCATGGAGCCCACACTGTCACTAACTGCAGTCCCTGAAGAAATATTATCACATTTTTTTTGAAAAACAAAAAAGCGATTTCAGAGAGAGGCAGACAGAACTGTCTACAATATGATTTTGAAGGTTATATTCAGGATGTCAAAGTGATTCAGCAGTGAAAACAGGTTAAAAAGGTAAAGAGAAGCCACAGATCACAGTGTAAGAGTTCACCCTTACGTCACCTGGAGATCGAGACAGAAGACAATTAAATTAATTAATTCAGCAGCCCCCCGTCAATGGACAGCGACAATTAGTAAATGGAGTGCCCTCCTAATCAGCAAACAGATTTTAAAACGCATCAATATAATACAATTCTAGGGCTTTTAAAAGGAGGACACTGATTGGTTTAATTCCTGTTAGGACAAAAAGACCACTACAATTAATTAAGAAACATTTGCTTCTTACTTTGTGCACAGACTACTTGCTGTTTAACTTGACAAGTAGAGTTGGACACACCTTAAATTCACTTGCACTGTCCACTTTAGACCATGCGGTACAGATGGTTAAAATAGGGCCCTTAGTCTTTTAACTGTAAAATACTACAGAATATATCTGGTCTGTAAACCATGTTATGCCGTGTGTTCTTCTTTAATGAGCCCCCTGTCTCTGCATCAATCACTCATGATACAACTTAGTTCGGTTTAAGCAACCAAACTACTTAGTCTCCTGGATGAATGACCGTTTTTTGTTTGACCAATCCACCACCCCCTGCCTGTGTGTGTCTTTATACTTCCTGCTTCATGCTTACATGGACTACATACAAAGTGATTGTGTGGGATATCTAATAATTACAGCGCATTGATATTCGTAGGTATAGCTGCAAATGCTGTATGAAAACAGCCTGCTCAAAAACGCTCTTGCAAATGTCATTTTGGTCAGTTTGGATGCAGGTGTGGTCCTTACTCTTTAATACCGCTGCTTAGTAGGCTAACATGTACACAGGCCAGCTGAACCAGAGGCTGAGAGATGTTCTGCTTCAAATCCGGCTATAAGTTATCCCATGCTGGGTAATTAAGTGCCAGCAATCCCCAATTATTAGAATATTATAACATCCTTGTAATGTCAAAGCACTTAGCAATCGATAAGAATTACATTGTGCTTCAGTTCCTTTCCTCTCGCCTTAAAAGGGGGACCAGGATGCATGGGGTATGTTGCGATTGCGAACGCAGGAGGCCAAGGGCTGCGGGGTCAAATCCCAATGGCTGAGGCGCCCATGAGCATTTTAACCATGTAAAAAGAGCGACTGCTTTTTGAGGAGATTCCAGTTAATCACACACGATAGGCTGAAACGTGAGGCTGTAAACCTGCGCACGGTATCACTGCCGCAGTGTGGAGATTACCGCTCCTGTAGGACAACAGACTCTGCCAATCACCGCCACGCTTACACATTGCGGTGGCAGGGGAACGTGTTTGCCAAGCCTTGCAGAACAAATAATAATTTGCTTTATGCAAATACGCACAAGAGTAAATTCATTTTAATTATTTAAATGAGACAGCTCTGTGCGCAACAGATTGTTCTGCTGGTGAATTGGCGGCATCTTACACCTCTCTAATTATTAACAGCAACATTGTGCTTGCACTTGATGAAACCGAAGAGAAGTGGTGAAGAGGAGGAGGCACAATGCCGGTCAAATAGAGATAACACTTTTCTTTTTCCTGTCCGTCTCACCATCTTAAACTCCCCTTGGTGCACCGGCAAGATTGAACAACTTCCTAGTTTAGGCCATCTTTCTATTGGCCATATCATCATTGCAGGGATCTGAGAACGATAATTCTAAGACAACAAACCAACAAATGAAAAACAGTTCATGCAGTAGAAGACAATTTAACTTTTTTTGAATGCAAATGAGTGTTTTTCTCTCTTGTACTCCTAATGTAATCCTTTAATGACCTCACTTCAAAAAAATGATATTTTCTTTACTTAGTTGCTGTTGGCTGTGGCCAGGAAACTTTAAAAAAAAGTCTCTAACAAATGGTTGAGATGTCATTTTACTGTACGGGTGCAATTGCAACAATTTGCAAAATATATATTTTTAACAAACAGCTCATTTTGTACACAAGATAAATGTTCAAAACAAGGGGAAACGAAACCTTTTACATACCACATAAAAATCGAACACTTTCGAAAGATGAATAAACAACAAACCAAAAAAAAAAAAAAAAAAAAAAAAAATATATATATATATATATATATCATCAGAGAATAATAAAATAAATCCTAGAATACTGTTTTTGTGGAATCTTTGTAGAATATAATTTAGAAATGTAAATGGCAGAAAGGTTTGGCTTTTCTTTTTACATAAGGACTTATAACAACTATAACAGTTAGTTAGCAGGTGTTGCCTTTATGGCTCAGTCAAGAGCAGACTGCTAAAAATATAATGGTATTTAACACTGTGCGGTATAGAGGCAACAGCTGAACAAGCATGAAGGTATTAACAAACCTACATAATTACATGCATGTAGCTTTACCATGGCTTTTAAATGCAGTTTGAAATACAGTTGCAGGCTAGTACTATTATTTACTTTTCTTTTCATGTTCTTTTCATGTTCTTTTTTCTTTTTCATGTTTGAAGGGTTTCACTGCCTTGTTCATGCAGCCTTCATGTTTGAAAAAACGACGACGTGATTTCAACAAGGACATATTTATATTTCAAGACTGCACATTTAGTGTCTGACTGGCGATCAAGGTGGTGACTGATATTGTCAATTGGTTTGTTCCAGTTCGGACGAAGACAGAAACATGTTGAGTCAAAGAAGTTATTGGGTTAGACCAGGCTCATGGTAAATATTTCTCTTAAACTTCAGCTAAAGAGCTTTAGGTGAGCAGATAACTCCAAGCAAACGAGTCAATAGGAGTAACTGATGCTTGTAATTTAAATATATCGCAGTTCTTGAAGAGGAGATGATGGAAGAGCCTGAAGAGCCAAAAAAAAGACAAAAGCGTTCAGAGACCCTTTCTGAATTGGCTCAATGAGCTGAGAAGCTGCCAGCTTCACTGGCAAACACTATACAAATTATCATAACTATCATTACATCACACATTGCCTCCCCCTTCTTCATCCTCTCTCACCGCCTTCTGTCAATTGTCCCCCTGTGTGGATGGTGTCTCTGAGTCTGTCCTCTTTCAGGCCTCTGTGGTACAGAACAGGCTCTCGGTGGCACATGGTAGTTCCTCGATGTCTCCTCTGGTCAACAGTCTTCATTACTTTACATTACATTACAGTCATTTAGCAGACGCTTTTATCCAAAGCGACTTACAATAAGTGTATTCAACATAGGTATTCAAGAGAACTACTAGTCACCAGAAGTCATAAGTGCATCTCCTTTTTTAAACAAGCATCTAAGAGCATAAACTAGAGCAAAAGTACAGTGCAGAAACAAACTAATACAATAAGTGCAACAAACTAATATGAATACAATAAGTGCTGAGTGGAAGGCTCAGGGTAGTACTTCTTGAAGAGGTGAGTTTTCAGCCTGATGAAAGATGGGCAGCGACTCTGCTGTCCTGAGGTCAGTGGGGAGTTCATTCCACCACTGTGGGGTCAGGACAGAAAACAGCCGCGACCGGTCGATCGGCCGCAGGGACCTCTGAGCGACGGGGCAACCAGACCAGTCACCCCGAGGCAGCAGAGCGAAGTGGTCGGGCGGGGGTGTAGGGCTTGACTTCAATCATTCATCAATCCAAACACTTTGAATCGACTTTGAATCTCCCCGTCCTGGAAGAGGTATTCCCCCCTCTGTTGCTCTTCCTTGAGGTTTCTTCTTTCTTTTTTCCCTTCAAAGGTTGTTTTTGCATGGATTTTTCCTTTTTCAAATGAATCAAGGGTCTAAAGACACTTATCAAGTAAATGGAAGAGAGAGTAGACGTATCAAAAAGTCCAAGTCCATGCAGTGTATACTTCATTTGAGCTTCGGCCTAAGGGACCCTCATCAGTTGATGGATGCTACCAATTGGGCATTTTAAAAACACAAATGAAGAACCCAGATGAATCAGATACCACTGTATCATTTTCACTTTTGGAGGAATTTATCCTGAAGCTGGACACACGGGTACCTGTAGCTGTGCAGAGAGTGGCAAATGCTCCGAACATTTCTTAGATAGGACACTGCATGTAGCACATGGATTACATTGTATAGAGTTGATTTCTGACAATAAAGTGAAGTGCAGTACATCTACAGGTTTGTTTTATCCAAAAATCAATTTGCCATCATTTCGGTGCATGTAAAAGATGATTTTATAGCTCATCACAGAAAGGATCCTGTAATATGATCTCTAAAAAAA